CCCTGGATCGAGTCCCGCATCGGGCTCCCTGCTCGGCAGGGAGCCTGCTTCTGCCTCTGACCCTCCCCCCTCTCATGTGCTCTCTCTCTCATTCCCTCTGTCTCAAATAAATAAATAAATAAATAAATCTTTAAAAAAAAAAAAAAAGAAAGCAAGAGGACGGGGGCACCTGGCTGGCTCAGATGGAAGAGCATGTGGCTCTTGATCTCAGGGTCATGAGTTCAAGCCCCACGTTGGGTATAGAGAGTACTTAAATAAGTAAACTTAAAAAAAATAATAATAAAGCACAAGGAAGGGAGGGAAGAGGAGGAGAGAGACAGGTGTTGGGTCACGATGCGACTGTACTTCCTACTGTGGGTTGTGGTCATTAAAAGCTGTGGACCTAAAAAAAAAAAAAAAAAAAGCTGTGGACCTAAATATCTCCAAACTGCCCCACCCCTTCATGGTGAAGCAATATATGTTTTTTTGCTTTTCCCTTATCATCAAAATCTCACCAGCTATTCTGAGCAATTTGCAAACTACTGAGCATTGTAAAAAACAGAGAGGAAATCACACCTAATCTCACCACCTGGAGATGCAAAACACCAGGGCGATGTCATGCATTTCCTTCCAGGCTTTTTTCTAAGTTGCTTTTGTACATAGCTTAGCACACATTGCAAATAACAAATATAGGGCCTGCCTTTTTTTTTTTTTTAAACTAAACATCATAAATCCTTATCAAGTTGTTCAAAAACTCCAGAAGATTACTTATTTCTTCAAAAAAACAAGGGAGGGGGGAAGACATGGAAGGCCTTAAAAGAGAAAAATGAAAAGTCCTTCCCTCTTAACCCTACCCCCAAAGGGACTGAAGCAACTAAAACAATTAAAAATGTTTCATTCAGGGGAGCCTGGCTGGCTCAGTCACCAGAGCAAGAGACTCTTGATCTTGGGGTTGTAAGTTTGAGCCCCACAATAGATGTACAGTTTACTGACACAGCAATAAAATGTTTCATTCAGAATTCACAAAGCTAAAAAAAAAAAAAACTTTCACAAAGCTATTAAGTGTGAAAGAAATTTAAGCAATTAAACTTTCAAATTATTTTTTTGTAAGTTGGTAGCATTTACATCTCTGAAGTTAGTACAATTTATTTTTTTTAATTTTATATATTTATTTGACAGAGACACAGCGAGAGAGGGAACACAAGCAGGGGGAGTGGGAGAAAGTGAAGCAGGCTTCCCGCTGAGCAGGGAGCCCGATGCGGGGCTCGATCCCAGGACCCTGGGATCACGACCTGAGCCGAAGGCAGACGCTTAATGACT